AAAAATTTAAGGGGGTCTGAATACTTTCCGTACCCACTGTAGACATCAAAACGTTGAAGAGCAAGGACAAGAGCTAGTGTAAGTAAGTGTAAAAACTAGAGCCCGAACGATATATACTGTTTTGCCAATATGAGCCTGTCTCCGATATATCGGTATCGGCGAATATGCCGCCGATATGAATTTTTTATTTTTTTTTTTTTTTTTTTTTCCCAGAACATATAACGCAGATAAAATGCTTGAAATGGTGTAATTACTTAGTTTGTCCAGCAGAGCGTGCTCCATTGTTTGCTACTGGCACCCTGGATGAAACGTTTCAAAGCTTAAGTTTGAACTTTGAACGGCCATATCTCCGTAACGGCACAGCGAATTCACACCAAATTCAGGGGATCTCTTCAGCTCAAGGAACCCTCTCGAACGCGAATCGAGTGTACGTCTAGAGGCCTGCTTTCGAATGAGCCCACCGCCGGCGCGGCGAATCCGCACCAAATTCGGGGATCCCTTCAGCTCGAGGAAACCTCTCGAACGCGAATCGAGTGTACGTCTAGAGGCCCGCTTTCGAATGAGACCACCGCCTCGTCGATAGCCCCCAGGGTTCGGGAGTTAGGGGTGGTTAAATTCGCGGTCCGGTGCCGACCGATCAAGCGATCCTGGGGGTCTACCGACGCGCGGAGGGTGGCGTTCGATAGGGCTCCTCGAGCTGAAGGCCGGCGTGTTCGCAAGATAGTGACACCAGTCAACACTTTCATTTCAGTAAGGAGGTCTCTTATTCAGGCAGCAGCATTCAAGCGTTGTCTTATTCGACCGTAAGTGCCCTGCCAAGTGGAATTCACATGAAATTCCGCCATGATTCCAGTTCCAAGGGAACATACACGTTACATTCAAAGGGCATTAAAGTGCGCGAGACGTGAATTTATATTGCATTTATTTACAGAGGTATATTATGTCACACTTCACACTTCTCTAGTAAGTTTCGTCTGTGTGTGAAGACAGTAGCGCAAATCCGTGAATGAATGTTCCGAAGTGAAATAAACTTCAACGGAATAAAGTTGAATGGAATTGAATTGAATTAAAGTTGAATAAACTTCAACTTTACAGTTCAGTGCACTGATGTCAGACTCATTTTGGATAATAACTGTTAAATGCCCTGCCTCCATCATTACGTATCTCTGTCACGTCATTATAAGTGTTTGATCACCACATTTGAGTGATCATTGCAAAAAATGTGTTTATGTATATATATATTCTGTTTATGTATATACTGTATTCTATATGTAGTACCAGTCAAATGTGTGGACACACGAATGGGAAAGTGTCCAAACTTTTGACTGGTACTGTACTATAATATACACAAAGAATATCGGCCGATATATCGATATCTGCCTTTTTTTTGCTCCCTAATATCGGTATCGGCCCCAAAAAACCCATATCGGTCGGACTCTAGTAAAAACCTCTGAAAAATACCCATCAGTGTGTGACAAGTCACCTGATACTTTATATAAATTTTTTCCCCCTTATGACAAAAAAAATACTTAAGAGTTTTATATATATATAATTTTTTTTTAAGGCGACTTAATTAAGATATTTTTTATTATTTTATTGTGACATTTTATGAATCAATAACATATTAAAGGAATAGTTCATAAGTATTTTAAAATAACTTTAGCTTTCTAGCTACCAGCAGGCACTGAAACGGACTCACATGTCATGTTCAAACCTGCAGTCATCGTTTGGACTGTTGTCTTGTCTTGTGTTGTGTTGCTGTGAGAACATCAGACAGCTGTTTCTGTGATGAGCACTGCCATGAGCTGCGTGCAGAGATCGCACCATCTTCACTCGAGGACATCCTGGTAGAGGATTTTTACTGCCAGCCAAAAAGCATTCACACATCATCCGCAATGTGCGCTGAATTAAACCGTTTGTTCCAACACAGTCAGGGTCAGTTACATTATACACCGTACACTAAAATCTAACCATTTCAGTTATGTCGCTCCATAAATGTACTGTGTGAGAGGTTAAAATACATATTAGCTGTGATTAAATGGAATCCAATTCTACCTAAAATGAAGGATATTCAGTTTAGGATCATTAATAATGTGTATCCAGCTGCCGAAATTTTACGGAAAAGATTCCGTTTTGAGGTAACTTAGATGAGTTTTTTTGTTTAAAAGAGCCTGAAACCATTGAACATTAATTTTTTTTCTTGTCCAGTCACATTGAAGTTCTGGCAGGATCTTTACAGCTAACTAAATATTGATATCAACACTGATATTCCATCACTAAATTTGTTTCAGGTTTTGGTTTTTGTTTGTGCAGATGGTCTTTCGAAAAAGATGTCATTGATGTTAAACATTATTATTACAAATGACAACTTATCCAAAGATAATCAATCCCATGGGGAATTGTATAAAACCATGTATGAGTCTCTTTTCTTTTAAGACTGGTAAGATTTTGTACCTTTTTCCCCCCTTGCAACCCCCTGAAATGTTTAAAGAATGTTGGTTTTGTTTGTTGTTATTAGATATATATATATACACACTGAACAAAATTATAAATGCAACACTTTTGTTTTTGCCCCCATTTTTCATGAGCTGAACTCAAAGATCTAAGACTTTTTCTATGTACACACAGGGCCTATTTCTCTCAAATATTGCAATCACAAATCTGTCTAAATCTGTGTTAGTGAGCACTTCTCCTTTGCCGAGATAATCTATCCACCTCACAGGTCTGGCATATCAAGATGCTGATTAGACAGCATGATTATTGCACAGGTGTGCCTTAGGCTGGCCACAATAAAAGGCCACTCTAAAATTTGCAGTTTTACTGTATTGGGGGGTCCGGGGGGGTCCAAAAACCAGTCAGTATCTGGTGTGACCACCATTTGCCTCACGCAGTGCAACACATCTCCTTCGCATAGAGTTGATCAGGTTGTTGATTGTGGCCTGTGGAATGTTGGTCCACTCCTCTTCAATGGCTGTGCGAAGTTGCTGGATATTGGCAGGAACTGGAACACGCTGTCGTATACGCCGATCCAGAGCATCCCAAACATGCTCAATGGGTGACATGTCCGATGAGTATGCTGGCCGTGCAAGAACTGGGATGTTTTCCGTTTCCAGGAATTGTGTATAGATCCTTGCAACAAGGGGCCGTGCA